CTATTTTTCTTAGCTATTTGAGAGCCAATTCTTGAAGAAATTGTCGTGTTCTTGAGCGTTTACTAGTTCACTCATATCTACTCTTTGTGAGAGTTTTATTCCTGAGTGTTTAAGTGTTTTCATACACTTTAAGGGAGTTTGTTCCCTTGTTGTAAACTCGAAGGAAGTTTCTTGTTCCTTCGTGAGAAGTCTTGGAGTGCGGTATCTCCGAGCAAAGGTGTTGAGGCTCGTGTGACTCGGGTTCTCAAGTTGTATCGGTTTGTTAAGCACCCTTAAGCTTAACGGAGTTAGTGTAGCTCGAGAGAGTCTCTCGGGGGGCTGGATTAGCCACACGTTGTGGTGAACCAGGATAAAATCCGGTGTGCTCCTTCTTTACGCTCTTTACTTTAACGCTCTCGTTTTAATTTCCTGCGATTTTGTTTTAAACGCTATTCACCCCCCCTCTAGCGTTGGGCCTTTATTCTAACATCTTATACTCCCTTCATCCCACAAAAAGGTTCCCATTTGAATACTATTTAGTCAAATATTTAAATGTTTTGACTATAAAATGTGAGAAAGGTATATTGAATTATAAAATAAATGTAATATAATTGGATTCATCTTACGATCTAGTTTTGATATCTCAAATTTTTTTTGCATTTCTTTATTTAGATTATATTTAATTTATGGTCATATCGTGTAACTATTTGACCAAAAAAACATCAAAATGAGAATTTTTTTGTGGGACGGAGGGAGTATTTAATTCTTTATTAATTATTACTCCCTCCATCCCTTAAACTCATTCTCCTTTCTTTTTCTTGTCCCACTACCTCCTTCCCTTATATATTAAAAAACCACTTTTACCCCTTACTTTTTCATACCCTACATATCACATCATACTTTTTTTACTAATAATCTATCCATCACATCTTACTTTTACCATCACATCAAGGGTATTTTTAGAAAGTCAGCACCAAAATATCCCTCCCTTAATTTTCCAAAACGTCAATAAGGGAACGACTTTAACGGACGTAGGGAGTATTATGCTCTTGGCCTTTCTTTTATGAGTTTCTTTCTATGGACAATCTTTTTTAGTCATCTGTCATGTTCCTGTAAAATTGAGGGCAAAAAATACAATTTTCTTTCGAGCTTGCGCCTAGAGATGTATTTTAGTTTGATGTGAGTTTGATGAACAACATAACAATAAAGACTATAGCTGTGGCCTAGGACTCTGACCAGAGACCACAATCTATAGAATTCAATTGTAGTAGAGTGCGATTCGAGTTGGCAAATGATGTATTAACGGCGATCTCTGACATTTGCTTTGACAAGAAAAAATAAGTGAGCACTGTGAAATCACACTTAGCTCTCAATTTAATGCCAACATGACAATATGTCAAGAAAAAACTGTCCATGAAAACATATTTATAAAGGAAGGATCACAGATGTAATATTTGATAATAAAAAACTAAATATGAAAAAAATATATTATAAAGGACCAATTTTAGAATTTATTCAAATTAGATTGTATGATTTTGATTTGTATTATCTATTTTTTGTGAAGGATGCATTATTAGATTTGATAAGGCTTGATCTGATCTGATTGTATCTGGTTTGATCTAATTGAATCTGGTCTGAACTGATTGGATCTGAACTAATTTGATTGAGCCCGATCTGATCTAACTGGGTCTGATCTGATTTAATTTTAATAAAAATAAGTAATAAGCAGAAAAAACAATTCTTGGATCATTCCCTTAGGTGTGCAGAACGCGCTCATTTAATAGTAATGTTATAGTTTGACATAATCAAAAGCAGAGTATAAGGGGCGGTATCCTCTAGTAGTAGGGTCTAGACCTGGCAAAACAGAACCGGAACCCAAATATCCAAAACCGAAACTGGAATGACTCGAAAAATGAAAATCCGATCTCTAACCGAAAACCCGAAATGATCAGAATTGAACCGAAACCGAACTAAATAATTCATATCCGATTTAAATCCGAAACCGATTAGATCCGAAACCGATAATATTCGAACCGATTAAACCCGAAACCGATTAGATCCGAACCCGATAATACCCGAAAGCGATAAAATACGAAACCGATTAGATCTGAAACCGATAATATCCGAACCCGATTAGAACTAAAATCGATAAATTCAGAACTATGTTTGCCTTTCAATAAGCATATTATATTTTTAAATTTTTTACTTTTATTTTACCATTTGAACTAATTACATTACTTGCTCATTCCCTCATAAAATAGATTATCTTCTTGGAAAAAAGTACAAAATTTTATGCCTTAAATTTATTATATGTAGAAATTAAAGATAAGTTATACATATAAATGATAACACACAAACAAATAAAATTTTCGTAATTTTTAAATAGTGAAGTGTGATATTCTTTTTGGAACGAAAGGAATATATGATAAATTGTATGGGATAACTTGATTTTATCCTAATTTCATCTAATTACAATAAATTTTATTGATTTGGGAGTTAATTTGATTAATTTCAAACGAATTCACTCAATATTAGTCAATAAAATTAGATGCTAGTGTTAGCATTTTGAAAAGACTCTCTAGCGGCAGCCTTTACTGTTATCATTTTCAAATTTGATCTACACCATTACATTTAGGTGTAAAATTAATTATATTTGACTCTATTAAATTTAATTTTCTCTAGTTTCAACCATAAAAAACTAAACAATTTACAAATTTTGCATTCAATTGAATAAAATTTACTTAATTTCACCCAAGTTTACTCAATTTTTACCAAATTGTATTCAAATGGAACATAAGACTATTTTAATTTATCTTTTATCCTTTCATTTATATACATAAGTATATTAGTAGATGTGATAAAGATTTGATATTTCAAAACTAAATTTTAAAATCAATTTAATTATATTAAATTTATATCATAATTAAATATATATGTTTTCATAATTTGTAGTCCAAATTTGTAAAATATGACTAAACAGTCAAAAAGGAAAGATTATTTAGGGTAGAGATAATATAACAATAAAAAAATATAAAATAATATGAGGTATTGAATTGATGATAGATTGATAAATGTGATAAAACATAAAAAGAAACACGGATAGTTAAATTTTAATTAGAAAATAATATATATCCAAAATATATTTGATCCAAAACCGAAATATATCCGAACCGAACTAGACCCGAAACCGAAATATATCCGACTCAAATTGTATCCGAACCAAAATCTATCCGAATCGATTTATAACCGAACCGTATCTGGACCGACTCGAAACCGAACCGAACCAAAAAATGTATAGAACTGAAATCAAATCCGAACCGAAATTTAAGCGATCCGAACCGAACCAAACCGATTATAACATATAACCGAAAGATATCCGAACCGAAAAAATCCAACCCGAAACCGATCCGGTTGATCTGATTGCCACCTCTAGTAGGGTCCAAGCGATTGCACAATGTCCAAAAGGCAAAGTTCCTATTAGAGGTTGAGCTTATATTGGTAAGTGTAGTCTCATGAAAATCTCCTAAATGTGGGAGTGCGTTGCGCGTGACGATCTGTGATACTATCGAAACTTGTCACAGACCATTCTTATTTTAATGATTTGATATTAGTACAAGATAAACTCAAAAATCATTCGGTTTGTTCTATTTTGAAACAAAACGGTACAATTCCATACACATGATCAAACCGTACCGAAAATTAAACATGCATTACTCAAATAATGTCAAAACAAAAACACAATTTTGTATAAAAAACAAAACTTTGTTAAAAAAGTAATGATTTCAAATTTAAAAAGATCCTAAACAGAAAGAATAAAAAACAATGAGTCTAAATTTTAACAAAAAATCAATTCATACAATATAATACTCCCTCCGTCCTATAATGATCTTCTCGGTCCGCAAAACGAAGAAAAATCCCAAGTTTTTTCAATCTATTTTATTTAAATATTGGTATAGAAATAAAAAATAAAACATACATATTTAAAAACTACATCAAAAGTTCAACAAAACAAGTGGTGACAAGAATATTTTATTTTATCATATAGGCCATGAAAAAACACAAATAAATATAAATTTCCGTGAAGTTGGAATAGTGCTCTGGGAAGATCATTATAGGACGGAGGGAGTATCAACTATTAGTATTTTAGTANCCTATAATGATCTTCTCGGTCCGCAAAACGAAGAAAAATCCCAAGTTTTTTCAATCTATTTTATTTAAATATTGGTATAGAAATAAAAAATAAAACATACATATTTAAAAACTACATCAAAAGTTCAACAAAACAAGTGGTGACAAGAATATTTTATTTTATCATATAGGCCATGAAAAAACACAAATAAATATAAATTTCCGTGAAGTTGGAATAGTGCTCTGGGAAGATCATTATAGGACGGAGGGAGTATCAACTATTAGTATTTTAGTAACTCCAAGGAAACAATGCTCGTGATACTAATAAAAATTGTTAGACAATAATAATAAAAACAATTATGGTAGTTTTAGTTATAGTAGTCTTTGTATTCTAGTCACCTTCATATTCCTATTTATGGTAGAAGTTGTATTTTAGTTAGTTTTCATTCTCTATTTCTAGTTGTGTTAGGAGTCTCATATATATATATATATATATGACATTTTTTCGTAATAGATGACATTTTTTCGTGTCCTTGTATCCCTTTTTTCTTGTACTAATAACTCTAGTTTGCGTGTACTTTTCAGTGATCATTTGGTAAAATAAAATTTTTTTGTCCTCACTTGTTTGGAAGAACTTTTAATCGAATTCTTAAATACTTCATATGTGTCATATCTATTTCTCCATGTTGACTTTTGCAGTCAATATTTTTAAACTTTAACCACAAGCTACACAAAAATAGATTTTTAATATCAAAAGTTCATTTTTAATTGTTACTCAGTATTTTTTAGATATCATATATTTATAATCTATGTTTGTACATAAATATAGGTACTTATGGTCAAAGTGTTGCATTAGAGGTTAGGAAAAGTGAAATGACAAGAAAGATATGGAACGTAGTCTGTAAGCTGAACTTTTTATTTTCGCACTATAAATAAAATTGTTTTAAAATAGATAAATTTTGCACCTTGCTTGAACAAAAGTGAGTAGAGTGCAGGGGGAGGGAGAAAGGTGAGTAGGAATCATCTATTTTTTTCAAAAGGAGCACCGTTGCTCCTGTTGTCGTATCATGGCACCAAGAGTTATTGTCAAAAGAAGTCAGTTGAAAAATAGAGTTTGATCATATGAATAATAATGTAGAATGTAACCTTTTTTTGGGACAGAAAAAATAATATTGTTACATTTCCTTTTATTATTACGAATCATTTTTATAAAGGTAATACATATACAACCTCCACTAAAAAATTTTCTTTCCATTTGATTTTTCTTAGTCACTCTTTTTTTTAAACTTTGATAGCAAGATATTAAAAAATAGAATACATTATATTTTAATATAAATTTAGTGTTAATAGAGTGGGGTTTCGATGACACTGGTCAACAGTACCACTTTGGTGCCACTACATTTTTGGAGCACCTCTGATGCCTTGTTTGTAAAATTAATGGTTCTTAATCCTCCTAAGCCCCCTTCAAATGTGTGATTCATATACATTGCATAATAGTCAGACATTTGGAGGAGACTTAGACTGGAATGAATTGTTTAAGGTTGATTTGATCTAATCTGAATGAATCTGATCTGATATGAATGAATCTGATTCGAACTGAATGGATCTGATCTATATAGATTTGATCTGAATGAATCTTATTCAAATTCATATTCAAATAGTAATTATTATTATTATTATTATTATTATTATTATTATTATTATTATTTAAATTTAATATAAAATTAAAATAATAATAATAATTTGAATTTACTTTATTATCATTATTTTTATTAATTATTATTATTATTATCTAAATAAGAATTTGAAGTCAAATAACAATAATAATACTCCCTCTGTCTGGAAAAAACTTCCCATTTGGAGTTTTTTTCATTTTTGAATGGTTGACTTATGAGTTGAAATAGTGAATGAATGAGGAAGCTCGCCGTCTCTAGTTATGACCTTCGCTAGCCCCCACCGCCAACTTGAGCCCCACCACTACCCCTTCACCGCCCGTGCTCCGACCATCTTCCCTAGTCCCCATCACCACCGCTAGCCCAGCCCTTGCCACCACCATTAATCTTTTTATCGCCGTCAGCCCCACCCTCGTTGGCATCCCCACCATCATGGTAAGCCCCAACACTGTCCCATTTACCACCATCACAACTATCATGGAACAGATCTAATATAAATACATGGGGAAAGGGGTACGGTGGTGGTGTAGATCTATAAGAAATAATGAGTAGTAGTATAGATTTACACTTACCATCACGTTAGCCGCCACAATCGCCGCCACCATCGCCGCCATAGCCCAAATTTGGAAGAAAGACGGAGAAGAAAGGAGGAGGGAAGAAATATGGAGGGGGGGAGAGGAGAATCGAAAGAAGAGAAGCAAAAATCAAGGGGGAGAGAGAGAGGAGAAGAAAAGGTCTGAGAAAGGAAGAGAAAGAGATGAGGTAGATGCAAATGTATGGAAGAAACTAACGAGGAGATGGAGGAGATGAGGTGGTGAAAAAAGATGAGAAGTGGAGGTGGAAAGAAAAGTAGAATAGGAAGAAAAGAAAAAAAAGAAAGAAAGGTTATTTAATGAGAAGGGTAGTTTTGGAAGAATTAGGGTTATAATTAAAAATGAGAATATTAGTTTCAGACGAGAAAAAATGAAAAGCGGGAAGATTATTTCCGGACAATGTCTATGGAGTATTTAGTGCCAATGTTAGGGCCACTTAGATAATGCCAAAGTTAGTGGATCATACATAACTATTACAAAAGATATTTTATACATCAGATAAATTTAATTTTACATGATAGATAATGACCGTTGTACACGTAATCGATGAGAAAAAGTTGTACTTTATACTCTGCATATTTATCCACAAGTCAATCTTACTATATACTATATTTTATGTGTTTTTCTACAGTGTTCCGCCCATTTGTTATGCTACAAGATTTGGACTGCACATTCGGATAAAGAATCTTCCGGCATACTCACTCATTTTAGATGTACTGGAGTAGTACTGGAGAAGCTTTGCATCTGCCACTCACTCATCTTCCGGGTTTCTAGGGTTTTTTGAACGGCTTCCGCAAAAATTTGGTCTGGGATTTCGAATGATAGAAGCTTTGGAGTACTAGAATACTGGCGATTTTGGTCTTGGATTTCGCACGCGATTTTGGAATACTGGAGTACTGGCGCACGAGAGAAGCTAAGGCACTGGGATTTCGCTCGTACGGCTTCGCGATTTTGGTTTGGTGGCTTCGGTATTTCATTCTCTTTCTTAGGTATTTCATTCCTTCATGATCTCTCATGCTCTTAGATCTATCTTTATTGCCGAACTAGGGTTTGCGATTTTGGATTGATTCTCTACCTTTGCGCTACTCATCATCGCCAAAGAAGCTTCTTCGGTATCACTTTTTATTACCTCATACAGATTAATTACTCTGTATAAATTAATTTTTAAAGGGTTGTTTTCCAGTCTTCGGTCCTCTCTCTGCAAACTGTTCGACGAAAAATGGTGGTCGATCACATACATACTAACACAAGCGGTGGTCGATCAAATGTCAGAATGGTGTATTTTTGGTGATTTTTTTATATTTTATTTAACAAAATAATTTCTTAATTACAAATTGGGCCTGGTAGTGAGTATATATTAGGCTTTCGATGATAATTGTGTACTGAAGCATATATGGAGCAAATTATCACAATGAAAACTTGGTTTTCAATCCAGCGTTCATTAAAGCTTTGTGTGTCTATTCAGGTTTTCACTTGAATAAAAAAGTATCAACACAATTTGGGACCTCATATTGCTGGTAAGATCTTAGAAGCTTCCTTCTCACTTTATGACTACTTTGTTATCTTACTTGGGCTTAGTTATTGATGATATTTTTTCCTTTTTTCACAAGAATTGGATCTTTATTAGTGGGTTTATATGTAAAAAATAAGTAATATTTCTCCGGGTAATCCGCTTTAAATGTGTTGTGACTGTCGTCTATATTTTAATATATAGAGTGTGAAATTGAGATGATTATGCTTTATGCATGTTCGTTTTTTGGGCGGTGGATGGATTTCACCAAGCTTGAATTTTTTTAATTGGGAAACACAAAATAAGTCTGTAATAGGTTCGTTTTTGGCAACAGAATCAGCAAGGTAGGAGAAGATGAGTGGAGCAGCTGTAGGAGAGAGGGGCTCAACTACCACTAAAACACCTGCTGATTTTCTAAAGTCAATCCGTGGACGGCCCGTGGTTGTCAAATTGAACTCGGGTGTTGATTATCGAGGTGGGTTACTCGAGCCGTTTCGTTAAGTATGCTTAATGATATCTGGCTGTTTAATTGGAAGTGAAGCACGACTGTTTTTTAAAATATTACTCAGAATAATTCTATGCTTTGGCTCAATGCCAAATTTCTTTAGGTAATCTATGTACTTTGATGAATGCAGGTTGCAACTTGCAAATGGAGAATATCCTATTTTTGCTTTGCACAGGTAAGTAATCATCCATTGAAAGTTCAAATTCTAGACTCATAATACATCAGTTTTAAACAATTCCACAAAAGATCAAGTAATATCATGTACAAACATATAATTGGTACGTAGATGGAGATCAGAATAAGCTCTAATATACAAATATCAGAATACTAACAATACTTAGTTTTGGTATTAAACAATGATCATCGCTTCAAAAAATTGACCTGAGAACCACAGAGTTTTTACACATTCAATGAAGCTCTCCAGCAGCTTCTGCCGTTTAATACTGGGGTTAGGTTCTTTAGTCTATTCCTATTTAGACATCTTTATGCCTTACAGTTATGTACTCTGCCCACATCAATCTTTTTTTCGGTAAAAGCAAGAAGTCGACAAAGTACCAAGGGAAATACCAGTGATTGGAAATTGTAGTGCAACGAAACATGCACTAGAGAGGACAAAAATTACACAGTTCTGACAATAGTAAAAATAAACTAAATGAATAAAGCATACTTGATAGGAGACTTCAAGATACAAGAAGAGGATATGCAACTAGAAATTCTTGAAATTTATCACAGCAGATTGCTGACTTCCAAAAAACACTATCCGCATTTCATAGGGGGGGAAAACAAGCACGGGATGATGCTAAAAAAGGAAGAGTTTAGATGGGGTCCGTAAAAAAGAACAAGCAGTAGAAGAAAATCCCCAATTAGGCAATATATGTTTATGTTCCTATTTCAGGTGATGCAGTAGCCAAACGAAAGTCTCTTTGACGCGAAGAGAATGATGGCTCAGTATAAAAAAGGTAAGGATTTATTCTATTCTTTATGTGTGGTTTTTTCTACAATTGAGAATCATCATACCAAATCTTTCATATTTTTTTTCAACGAGGATATGGCTTTGTTTTTAAACTAATGGCCCCTATGTAAGAAAAAAGTTTATTTTGTGGTTTTGAATAGACCCATTTTGATTTAATGATAAGGTAGTATTCTGACATTAAATTCCATCCAATTTCCATCTTTTAACATATAAGGAGTACAAAGAAAATCTATATTTATTATAAATTCTTTTATTGTTTGCAGTTAGTTGATCAATCTTCTAAAGGTATTTAAATGTAAGCATGTCATCTCTGCAAGTCAAATGAAAAGTTACTTTCGAGTATTTCATTAGCTACATATCAAACTAGAAAGTGTTAATCAAGGACAATATTTGAAATATAACACGTGAAGCTAATGTCTTCATTCTTTTTTGAGTTAGTTGTTTAATAAATGATAAATCTTATTTTTCTTCATTTAGTTTCACAGGCAAATTAGAAAAACAAACAATATTATTGTATATGTTACTTTTGTCCCATAAAAAGGTTGTACTTTTTTTTGTCCCAAAGAAAGGTTTTATTTTGTGCTTTTGAAAAAAACTGTGGTCCTTATAGTTCTCTCATATGCACCAATTTTAATCATAAAAGACTATTTTTCTTAATTTTTGGATGTGGCTTCCCTCTAATGCTGGACAGTGAAGATTACAAACTATTAGGGCTTGGCTTACAAAATGAAGTACCTTATCATAATGAACTACAGCTTTTGTTGCCAATGACTTATCACGCTAGCACATTAAATTAACTCATGAATTTATTCTATCAAAACATTTCTTTGAATTTACACCCCTCTTAATGTACCAGGAGCACTACAAAGTTTTTGATATAAGAAGTATTTATTTATTTATTTTTCTCTTTGTCACCGTAGATTAGTTTGTCATGGGCTGTCTTTGCACAATGAGGTAAGGCCATTGTATGTTCATACATACCATTAATTGTTGTTAGATTCTAAGAATGATAGATTGTATTAAGATTGCAAGTTTATTTAATACTATTAATGTTGAATTGCTTTTGATTGGAAATATATGCCTGCAGGTCCAATATTAGTACGTACATATTTTGTTTCTTGCTTTTTGAAATCTTAAAGTTAGGGTGATGGAAAAATTTACTAGCATATTGTTAAAAGTTGTTTTCAACTTATCCATGATTTAGTATCACATTTGAGATTGGTTGTGAATGGTTTGGTAACGTTTGAAGGGTGATTGGTTATTCTTTTGTTGTGTGGCAAAACGTTCTTTCAAGACGAAAGGATCATCTTTGGGTATGTAATTCCCCTTCCTCTTTCTCAATTTGAAATTTGTATTATATGAATATTTCCATCTTTTTTTGTAAATTTTTTTACGATCTTCAAAAGAAACTTAGATTTTTTCAAGCATATTTGAATTAGTGGTATAATAATTGTTACTAATTGAAAATTTGATTTCCTTGAGGTGAAGGTTTGTGTTTTCAAGGTCTAAGATCATCTATACATGTTTGTTGAAGTTTTGAACTGTAGTTTGGAAATGCCTAATAAAAATTTTAATACTCCGTGGGTTGGATTCTTTTTAGGCGAGAGATGGATTTGATCCATTCTCAAAGTTAACAATGGTGAAGTCGGACGGCTGATAACAAAAGTAATTAGTATTCTGAGAAGAGAGTATCGGGATAGGATCGGAACGATAACTCTGTCCATGGACGATGATTTAATTCCTCTAATCTTTCAGATTTTTGTAACATTTTTCCTTATTCAAAACATTGAGTAATTATATGTCAATTAATAGTCCGTGCATCGCACGGGCACGAGTCTAGTATTTTATAAATCGGATAAATATTCACTGTGTAAAGTCATTTTAAATAGTGGATAAATATCCTCTATGTAAATTCAATACTTAAAACGGTGGATTTTATCCGCTTTGCAAAGTGAAGTTTTATTTAAACAAACTATTATTATTATTATTATTATTATTATTATTATTATTATTATTATTATTATTATTATTATTATTATTATTATTATTATTATTATTATTTTTATTATTATTATGCCATCTTTATGGCCACTCACCTTGAGTGGCTAAAGAGGACACTGCCCTAATTGGTACAATTACAGTGCTTTGTTTGTAAAATTGATAGTTTTTAACCCTCCGATAAAACCT